GACTAGTGAAAATTTCAGTTATAAATCATTTTGAAAGACATCCACTTGTGCAGTTTTTCAAGTATAGAAAATTGCAAAACTAATGGATAGGAGAGTGAGACCAAATACAGATCCATCCAAGCCTGCCTAATTATCTTGATTGTTGTTTGCATGCAAATGATTAGTATCACTTAGAGTGGTCTCTAAAACAGTTTATTGTTTAAAATAGGTCTACTGCTTGCTTTTTATTTTAAAAAATTAATTTAGCTAGCAAGATTGTCTTACTGTTCAGGAGAAAATTTCAGTCATGTTGAGGATGAGGTACCCTGATTTCTGATGTGCTTCTATATCAGGAAGTTATAGTGCCTGTCCCCATACACCTCCTTGTCTCATTGTTCCATGTGTAGCAGGCAGAGGCTGCATAACTATTTAAGGAGTTCAAAACTATCTGCTATTCTGGATAAGAAAACCAGATGTTGATTTATTTTAAAATTGCTTCATAATTTCCCTAAATCTTTTTTTATACATTTTTCCCCTCACCTAGTAGGTCAGATGGCATAATTTCTAGGCTGTATGACAGGGTAAGTGAATTTTCCACTGGTACCCATTAGCCCAGCCTCTCCATACTTTGCTTTGGCTGGTCTTTCATTCATCTCCTTCTACTTCCTCTCAAGCAAGTTCACAATGAAACTTCAAGTCCATCAAGAGAAGGGCTTGTGAACATTTTATTCACCTCCTTATTTTATTCACCTCCTATTGTCCTGCAAAGTATTTGGGGGGGATACAGTGATGCCTTAGTACATGGTTGCTTACAAGAGTAAATCAATGTATCTATTAGCTGTCAGAGTTGATAAATCCACATTAAGAATTACATACTATATTGGGCATTTTCTTAAGAAGTAATCCTGGAACTCATGGGAATGAAATCTGTTTTGGACTTTAGACATGGGAACAGACAGGTGAATAACATCACTCTACATAGGTGATTGTTAGCTCTGTTCACCTGGGTGCAAGCTTATTCACCTGGGTACAGTGGCACACCCCTGTAGTCTTAGCGGCTTGGAAGGTTGAGGCAAGAGAATAGAGAATTTAAGCCAGCCTCAGCAGAAGAGAGGCACTAAGTAACTCATTGAGATTTTGTCTCTAAATAAAATACTAAATAGGGCTGAGGATATGGCTTAGTGGCTGAGTGCTCCTGAGTTCAATTTCCAATATCCACCCCCCCCAAAAAAAAGCAGCAACAACTACCACCAGTTATCAAGCATCTAATATATGTTAAATGTGTAATGAATCAACTTTTGGTTTTATGTGATCATCACACCAACTTACTTGCAATAGTTACCTTTTTTTTTTTTTTTGTAAACAGGGAAATTGATCCTGAGAAAAGTCAAATACTATCAGTGCATCCTAACAACATTTGAATCAATGTAGGACTGTATATATGAGGATGGTTCATAATTGTACTGCCTATTGATGTCCATCTTAGTTTGTGTACTTCATGATGTTCACACAATGACAAAACAGCCTTACCAGCATGGCCCTGTCACTGAGTCATGCATGACTGCACTTGGCCAAGGTCACATAGTGAGGGCTTTCAAGAACCAGGTTTTGATGGCTCCAAATCAGCATTCTTTCCATGTCGCTACTCTGCTATACTTCTATAATTGGAACCTAAATACGGGTCTAACAAGCATACCTTTAGCCTATACCATTTGAGATCCAAGGTGAAATCCCAAATATTCTGATTCTATGATAATTATTATCATCAAGAGCTGCCACCTGTTGAACAATTATTATAAGCAAGGCACTGAAGTCTTCTAAAATACACAGGTGTTCATATAGACTTCAGAAGCCTTCGAGATCCTACAGATCTGGATTCCATGTAATTTCCACCTTCTCTGTGAATGCTATCTATTAAGTGTCTATTAGTTTCATATGGGCAAATTTAGAAATCAGAAACAAACTCCTTTTCAGTGACGCTCAGATGGTTCAGACATGGTTACTGCAGACATTCATAATGGATGTTACTATCAAAGTGTCTGCAGCTCACTTGGAGACACAGTATTTATGTTTATGAATAGACAACAATGTAAATTCATTTATGGCTAAATTTGGGATGCAAATAATAAACACCAGCAGAGTTCAGAGAAGGGAGAGCTCGATGAATCACAGAGGCTAACAAGGTTCCATGATGGAAATGCTATCTGAGCTGGGTCTACAACATGGGAAGGCCTTGAGTGGATGTGGAAGAAGGAAAGAGTGGAGAGCAGAACACAGGTGTGACAGAGGACGGTGGATATCCATAGTCAATGGGCAATTTCTTACGCAGTTTTCTTAATTTTGGCTGCAGACTCAGTGCTTATATGATACTATTTTGTGCCTCAAATTTTCCTTATCTTAAGCCAGTAGCTTTGTTTGTTTGATTTATAAAAGAAGATAGGATTTTCCCAGCCCAAGGAACTGACCATTTCAGGAAACTGGTGGTTTAATGCTATGGCTGGCTGGATCAGAGGACTGCATAGAATTCTCACTAATAAGTCAGCAAAAATGCTTTAATATAAAGAGAAATAAAGACCAATTCTTAAAACTATTATCAGAATATGGTACTATCTGATTTTTTTAAAGTTAGATTTATCTACTTATCTGGAGTACTCACTAAAATGTTGGCTAAAAAGGAAACTTATTGTGCCCACCCCCATTTTTTTTTTTTTTTTTTTACTCAGAGACACTATGACACTCAAGGGGCAGTCAAAAAGATGGAAACCACACTAACTATTTTTAATAGAGAAAATATAAGAAAAAGGTTGTCAGGTGTTGAAAAAAAGAACATGAAAAATCACTGGTGTATTGAGAAATTATAACTGCAGGAATGAAAATAGTTGTGGTTATCTGCACCTAGACACTTCCTTGTGGGGTCTTACAGAGTTGGGACTGTACCTCTGAGGATGTGACACCTGCAGCTGCTGCTTTAGGTCAGGACCTCTAAGGCAAAGATGCTTGGCTACCATTGACAACTCAGAAGCTCAGTGAAGGGGGTGGTAAGGAGCTGGGGTTCTGATTTCAGGTGGTGGTTCTGCCTGGCAGCTGCTGGTACTGCTGAGCCGGGCGTAATGAGGCTGGCAGTGTGAGAAGGTGCTAAAAATGGGACACTGCTGCTAGACCCAAACTCTGCTCTCTGAGGTAAAGGGTCACAGAAGGAACAATGCTGGCAGGAGCAGCCAGCAGGTAAAGAGGAAGGAGCAGGTCCTCTTTCCTGCTTCTGCCTTCGCTTTCTCTCTAGCACCTCCTATTGACAAGTTCTAACACGGAGAAAAGGAGAAAGGTGGCCTGCGGAATCTTCTGCCACAGCATGGCAGAACAATAACAACAATAATAAATAATAATATAATGGCTTTATTATTGCCACAGGCCTTCCTTGAGCAACCCAGCATCCACATGTGCCTCTCTGTACATACTTGAACTCCTCTAGAGCAACAATAACAGTTCCCTGCTTTTTGCTATAATCCTTCCTATGAATGAAGATACTCTCACTCTTTCTCCTCAAAGAAGTGCACAAAATCTTGGTGGTCATTGCATCCATCTCTAGGCAGTGTTAATTCTTCCTCAAACTTACTCATAGATTCATGTGAATATTTTGTAACTAAAGACTAAATGACAAAGGTATCCACCACTGGGAAAAAAAGTTTAAATGAAATAATAAAAGAAAAGAAATAGAAAGGGAAAATAAATTTGTTTAGAAACATTTGAAAACTGGCTAGGAAATGTCACATTTTCAACTACACTGCTGAACTTCCTTTCCTCAAGGTTGACTTTGATAGCAAGCTTCTGGATCTTATTTGAACCCAGTTATTCATAGGATGAACTAAAAGTGCAGAATCTCCAATTCATCAGTGAACTTCAGCTGTGTGGATAACCACTGCACGAAGTTTACTCAGGCCACAAATTTTTGCCTCAAACTAATCATAATTGTTTTAGGTGGAAATTACTGACTATTGATTAAATCACTTGAAATCTAGTATCTGCCTGAATTCCTCACAGTTCAGTTCCAAACTAGAGTTTTCCACTGAAAGCCTTATTGATCCAGAAAATAGGAGTAACAGATATTGCAAGATGGAGGCTGCTACTCTTCACAGGACTGCAGGTGAAGAATGGACCATCCGTGTGTCTTAATGAAAGTTTTAAACTTTGGCAATGATAGCAGCTTCTGGGAGAGTGTGACCTTCCCCAGCACACTGCAGGTTCTTGCTGCATTCTGAAATTTCTTAGGGCAGGGGATAACAGATGCTTCAACTTGTTTAGCTGGAGGGCCAGCAACCAAGGGAGTCTGGAGAAAAGATATAATGAGATCTCAGAACTTGGTTTCAGCTCTAACTAGTAGCACTTCACCCCCTGTGGAGAGTAATTAGCATCTTAATGCACCTCACCTGAGCGTGTGTCTTTTCATAAGTTTCTCAGGGACTGTACCTTTATTATGCTGCCTTTCTCAGCACAGGCAGAGTAAATAGCGCCTCCCCTGTCTTCACTGGCCTCTTCCAGTGTCACATATAATCTTGGGGACCTGGAAATGTCTTTGGGAGACATGTGAAGTTTTAGCTACAGTCAGGTTACCTCATGGATCATATGGGTTTTCCTTTGGGATCTCTAGGTTCTAAAACAATGACTTTTAGTTTTTTCACATTAGACTGTATTCGTGTGGTGTACAAAACTAGGGGGAAAAAAAAATGAAGAGGGAAGGAGACTCCCAAACCAGCACTTTATCCAAGAAGTTGTCTGAGCACTGTGTACCCACATAGCATATAAAAGAGGTTTCAGTAATGGAGGCAAGAGGAACTTGACCACAAAGGTCAAGTGAAGATTGGATCTTGATGTGGTGCTTTGCCCACCAGGTGGTTTGATAGTTTTGGAGCTGGATTTTTAACTCTTTTCTTCTGGTTTGGGAAGTCTATCTGAGCTTAGAGGACCTCCTTTCAGAGGGAGCCCTCTCCCTGTACCCTAGCCATGGTTCTCAGGCCAGTACTCACTGAGGACCCAGCTGGAGTGAGCAGTGCTTGGGGCTGCTCATTTCTCCCCGGGGGAGGGTGTCCATAGCCTGAAGCAACCTGTTTCCTGACTCTGTGACTCCCTGAGTACCTCTTACAGAGTGAGTGGACACTTACATCATAAACAGCAATTGTGGCATATATTTTAACCTCTGGTCCCAGAATTCTATTTCTAGCACTCGAAACTCTAGTCCTAGAATCCTATGTCAGATCTAACAGTGCTTGTGAAAAATCTAGAAGGAAACTAAAATGAAGGGAACGTTTAGCACAGTGTCTGCCACATAGTAGGTGCGTGATAAGTACAAGTGGCCCTGACTTGATGGTTTAACTTCCAATTGTTTGACTTTACAATGATACAGAAGAGATATGCATTCAGTACAAACCTTACTACAAAAATTGAATTTTGATCTTTTCTTGAACTAGCAATATTCAGTGGGTTGATGGGCAACAGCAGGAGGGAAATGACTGACACTTCACAGTGTACTGAGTCTCCAGTGTAGTTGGATACAAATATTCAATAAATTACATGAAATATTCAACACTTTATTGTGAAATCAGCCTTTTGTGTTAGATGATTTTGCCCAACTGTAGACGAATGTGAGTGTTCTGAGCATGTTAAGGAAGGCGAAACCATGATGAAAGGTTATTACACTTTCAATTTGTAATATTTTCAACTTATGATGGGCTTGTAGGGACAAGTTGAGGAGCATTGTGTGGCTACTGCCAGGGCACAGACCGACTGTGGTAAAACTAGCAGAGCTGCTCTGTGACTGGACAATCTGGAATAATGAACAATTCCAATGATGCTTGCTGTCAATCAGGCCCTCAGAGGTCCCATCCTCACTGGCTCCCATTTAACTGCTCTGGTCTAAATTCTTGTGGGACTTGCAGATTGTCTCAGTGACCCACCGACCTCACATCATAGTTCAAGCTGGCAGCCAGCAGGGCCTGAGTGTGGTTGGTTGAGCATCTGGATTTGGACTGAAGCTGTACATCTTGGGTTCTTTTCAGCTTTTCTACCAGGTTGCCCATTGTGAGTTCTTATCAACCATGGAGCCACTTTCTCAGGCAACATGGCAAAGTGGTTTTGGTCTTGTCTCCTACCGTTTCTATATTCTTGAAGATATCAGACAGGATGAACAAATTGGAGAGAGAATAGGAAAATAGGTAGCTTGCTTCTTTTCAAACTATGATCTCTTATTTTGAGAATTATTTTGGACTTCATTCTTGAATCATAAGTTCCTTTGGAGGTGCCCAATCCTTTGGCATATTTCATGAAAAAAAAAACATTTGTTGCAAGAAAGGATGTACCTGCCAATTTATTAATTCTTTCACTTTAATTAACAATGTATTGAACACTCATTAGTGTGCCTGGCCCTGTGTTGGGTTGAAACGCAGTGATGAACAGGACAAAGTCTTTGCCCTTGGGTAGGAGTCAGACAATAAGCTGCCATGTACACTGGTGCATTTTATAAACTGAATGGACAGGGTGAGTTGACAGATTGATTGATCATTGGGGATGGGCATGACTTCTAATGTGATGACCAAAAGATTCTTCTGTGGAGGTGAGATCTGCATGAGTTCTGGAGCACAAGGAGGAAGCCAGTGTGTAAAGATCAGAAGCACTGATGCTTCTCCCTGGAGGAGCAGATTTAGAGGTTCGAGGGACAACGTGTGCTTCTGCTGCTCACAGGTTCCACACACCTGGGAAAGCCTTTCTGCAAGCCTGTGTGAGAATCATGGATGACAGAAGGCCAGGGAACATCCTTTGGTCACCTGCAAATGCTTGCAGAAGTAGTTGGCTGTTCTCACTGATAAATGTGCTCTCAGTGCTCTATGTGCAGGCTGGGGACTGGGTGATTTTCTTGAAATTTCCCCCCATAGTCAAATTTTTTCAGAACTAAAAATAACAAATTGGCAATCTACACACATGTGTTCTTTGGTAGCATCCAAGGACACTATCTTAGTGTGATGGATAATATTATGAGCTGTCTCAGTTCTTTGATGGGTTGTGTTATAAAAGTGAAGCAAGTTTCATCTTGCTGAAATGTTTAGCAGAGGGAGCAGTATTTCCAGTCTGACTCTCTGGTTACATCTTTTCTGCTTTTCAGTTCTATTTTTCCTTCATGCACAGGTCAGCCCAAGCAACACCCCCATCCCTTAGAAGGGGCAGGAACCTCTGCTGGCTGCTGTTGTCAAATGAAAGGGAGGGCTGGAGAGCAAGGGGCATGGGCAGCCATTTTCTTAACCTTGGCACAGCAGCCAGCATGAGGAATGGTATGTTATGGGGTGTTAGGTACTTGACAGAGATCAAGAGACTGTTCTGCAATAGCCAATGTCCCCTTGGCCTTCACCCTACCCCATGAGGTCTTAAAGGCACAGACAAAAAGACCAGGTCAATGCATGATTTGTATTACCATAAGGTGTTTACCCAAACTGCCATGAGTCTGGTGGAGAGCTAGCCTGAGCCATACCGTTGCCTCTTACTTGCTTCTCACTGCACTTTATTCAGCCTATAACAAAGTTCTTCTTCTGCTCAGGCTCAGGCAGGCTTTGTGGTTTAGAACACTGGAGGTAGGCTGAGTAGTGCCCCTGGTGCTTTCTTCCCTAGGTCCAAACAAACCCTTGTAGTTTTTGCTGTTAGTGAGGAACATCCAAGCAATAGGAAAAGAGAAAGAGAAGGAGCTTTTCCATTGAAGGGCTCCAGAGAGAGCTAGTCTAATTTGCTCAGCCCACCCAACTGGCAGGGCGGTGGAGTGGGGCCCCTCGCCATCCCCGCAGAGGCAGATTCACTGTGATGCTGATGCTGTCTGAGCGTCAGTGCCTTCAATTGCCCAAACTCCTTCTGAATAAGTGTTTATCTTCATACCTAATTTTGAATTTGAAATTTTAATATTAATTTCCTAAAAAGTGCTCGCTAAATCGAGTCCACAAAGCTGGGGGCCTGCTGCCACATAAATACGTGAAATTACTGAAACCCACTCCCTTGAAGATACATAGGCACCCAGAGAAAGAGTGAATTATGGGCATAAAATTAAATTATCTGTAATATGAGGACCAAGAATCCAGACAATTTTACCATAGGATCCTTTAAAATGTATATCCTAGGGAAGGATGAATAACCATAGGATCCTTTAAAATGTATATCCTAGGGAAGGATGAATAGTTGAAAGGTTAGTAGAAAGAACCTCTGTGTATCCTTCATCCAGATTCCTCACTTGTTAACATTTAAATTACTTTTTTTTTAGTTGTAGATGGACACAATATATTTATTTATTTATTTCTATGTGGTGCTGAGGATCGAACCCAATGCCTCACACATGCTACGTAGGTGCTCTACCACTGAGCTATAGCCCCAGCCCCTCATTGTTAACACTTCATACACTTATTATTTATTCTCTTTTTCTTTACATGTGTATGTGTGTGTACATGTACTTGTGTGAATATGTGCATATACACGCGTGCGCATATACAAACACACACACACATACACACACGCGCTTCTTTTTTTCCCTCAACAACTTGAGAGTGGGTAGCAGATAAATGATCTGTCACCCCTTGTATTTATCAAACAAGAGAATTCTCTTATAAAGTCTCAATACATCCATAAAAGTCAAGAGATTAACATTGATTTGATACCAGCATATAGAGACTAAAATTTCATCCATTTTCATAACAATGTTCTTTATGGATTGAGAATCCCAAATCTTATTTTGCATTTAGTTGTCATTTTTTTTTCAGTTTATTTCAACTCACAACAGCCCTTCAGCTTTCCTTGTTCTTCAAGATCTTGATATTTTTGGAGTAGCCAAGCCAGTTATTTTGTAGAATATCCCTAAATTTGGTTTTGTCTGAAGTTTCCTGAGGACTAGATTAACATGATGAGTTTTAATTAATTAATTAATTAATTTCCCAGGAGCATCATAGAAATAACAGGATTTACATGATGCTTGTTTGTTCTATTGCTGGTGATGTCAACTTTTCTCACTTGGTTAAGATGCTGTTAGAACTATCTTCTGCTTTTGGCCATTAATAATCGTTTCATGGAGTGTTTTAAGACTATGCAAATATCCTGTTCCTCATAAAATCTTCACTTACTAGTTTAAGCATTCATTAATGATTCTTACCTAAATCAAATTATTACTATGCTGGTTAACAAATAACCAAATAACAATTTTCTAATTCTATCATCTTTCAACTTATTAGTTACCATTCTACTGTAAATATTTTTTTACTCCATTTGCTTATGTACATGTGTCTGCATTTATTTGTATGAATCCATAGATTCCTATTTTATTCAATGTGTTATAATCCAGTGCTATCATATATTTTAATACTCAGTTATCCTGCATTTGACAAGCAGGGCCCCTTCATTTTGACTTTCTTATAATTTTCACATGTTCCTCTCATTTTTTGAGAACTTGCTTTTGATTGGGTACACGCTATTCTAGGCTTATCTTGCACTTTTCTTGCCTTAGTCCTGGAATCAGCACTTTTGGTTCCTTGCTTGGAAAATGGTATTGAAAAACCAAGATCTGGGGGCTAGTTGTGTCCATTGCTAATGAAGTGTTGCTTTAATAAACAGAGAACTAGAAAATACATGCAGGCAAACACACACATCAATAGTTATTTTTGTAGTTTCCCAACCACATACTTAGTGTATACAGATACCTCCAACTGCAATCTGATAGTGTATGCAACTGCAATTTGATAACAATCTGATAGCCTTCCTCTTTTCTGTTTGAAGATGGTAATCCTGTCTCCCATTGTCCTCACATGCTTTTTGCTCTGGCCCCTGCATGTGATGACTCTCCAGATCACGTGTGCAGCTGACTCCTGCCTGTCTATCCCAGCTGAGAGTTACCACCCCCCACCACATACCTAAAGAGAGCTCCCCACTCCAAGCCCAGGGATACTTAGCTGCTATTCTCCTGGTCCTGGCTGTTCACTGATGTGGAGTTCCTCTCTGGCCCAGCCTGCAATCATACCAATTCCCATGGGCTGAGTTCTTCCCTAGCCCTGAATGCATGTAGGCCAGTTTCTTCCATCTCTAGCTGTAGGTCCACCAAGAATTGAGATTTCTGCTGTCTGTCTACCTCCATGCATGTGTGTTGATAAATTCTTCATGGTCTTGGTAGCTTTCTGGTCAAGAGTGAGCCCTCAACCCCAGCAGCATGCTAACTCATGCTGCCTGGGCATCCCACAGAGGTTTAATAGCTGAAATTGATCAGTAAGTTGGAGGCATCTACCCAAGATGTTGTTAAGGGATCCTTTGTTGTTAAGGGAAGCCTAGCAGATTCTGGTCAAAGATAATTAGGACAGAGAAATACAATACTTGCTGTTTACATACTATGTTGGTTGTCAGCCTGCTCTATATTATAGGCAACTACATCTTCCAGGCTGCCCCTCCCACAGGCCTTCAGCTAGGTCTGTCCAGTAGGAGGCATTGATAAGAGACTGGAGAGCAGGTGGGAGAAGCCAGGGTAATTTCCCTTTCCTTCCTGACTTGGGCAGTATCTCCATCAGTGCTGTTCTCTCTGGCTTCTGTCGGCCAGACTTGCCATGGTTCTGGTTTCTGCCATGGACCTAGATTCCTGTTTTTCAATAATACCACCTTTCTCCTTCCAGCCCAGAATAGGGTAGTGGCTTTCTACTACTATTTCTAATTTCTTCATTCCTTTATTTTTGATTCTCATTTCTTCTATCACCCATGTAAACAACCCCCTGACTTACACGCCCTTTGATTTAAAGACCTAAGAGTGTTTAATATTTTCCTAACTTGACCCCGAAAATAGCCCAACAAGCTGATTCTCCTTGATGACTTGTTATATAAGCTTGGAGCTCTTGTAGCTAATCTTCTCCCATTTGGATAAAGTCTGTCCAAGAAGAAAATCAACACAAAGAAAATAGAAACAAAGATAAAGAAAGAGATCCTGGTGCCTTTGAATAAGCCCTCCATCAACCTTCACCTGAAGCCAGATGACCCTTGGACTTTTCAGTTATTTAACTCAATAAGAGCACTTTTTGTTTTAGTCCTAACTATACATCTGTGCTTAGGTATCTTGACTGTCAAATTAATTACTAAGTGAGGCCATTAGCTCTTCGATCCGTACAGGTGACTTGGGCTCTAGTCACAACAGGGCACATTTCCGTGATGTGATTCACTTATTTGTATTCTTCAGAGAGGAGATTTTTCTCTCTTTTATTGGTCTTTCTGTCTTTTTATGTGTGATTCCCCCTTTCTTGTCTGAGCTGCCACATTCTGACAGGGTCTTATATATCCACTATATCAGCGGAAGGGACAAAATAAAAAATTTATGTCATCCACAAGACAGACCTGAAAAACTAGCCTCTCATTTAAATATTGCAAAAAATTGAGTTATATGCTACATAAGTGACAGGAGAATGGGGCTCTTAATCTATGTGAAAGGAAATTGGATTCAAGTTGTTTTATCTCTTGCAGATGTTCAACATTATTTTTGTCAGCTAGTAGTTAAGTTGAAGAGAGACATCTTTCTCAGAATAGAAACATGAAATAATAATGTCCTCCAGCATCATCTCATCACGTTAAGCCATGAGATGGATGATATCCTGATGTGAAAAGATGCAAATGATACTGAGTTTTGAAGTATTTGTTGGGAGTGCAAGAGAGGCTCAAGTTTTGTTCTACAATATACTGCTTCTGCATAAAAAAGATAAGGAATCCCAGAATTTCTTTGTTAAAAAAAAAAAGGGGGATCCGAGTCCACATTTCCTGAGAGATTTATTTTGGATAAGAATTGAGTAAAGATTTGAGTTTGAAATGTCCGTGCAGAAAGCTGGTACTGGCATGGGTTAGCAGGCATGACCTTGGAGGCTTGGCTCAGGGTTGTTGCTGAGACTTGCTCTGATGCTTGACATGAGGAATAAGGCTTCCTAGGGTGGGTTGATCACCAGCATGCTGAGGCCCTGGCCTTCTCGACCCTCTTCAGAAGTGTGCTGGCTTTTCCAGGTCTATTTATTGTCCCCAGTGGCTCTTAGTTGTCTGACTTGAACCATTACAGACTATCTACAAATTTAGTCCTACCCTAACTTCATCCAGAAGTTGGGAATGTATCTTAGCAGCCCCAAGCCACTGGGGTTTGTGATTAGATATGCTACTTTAGGTCTGCAACCTGGTGGGCTGGAGGGACAATGCAGGGCACCCCTGAGCCAGAACCCCTGCATTCATAACCTAAAAGTGAGTTGCTGTCTCAGTTTCCCTACCTACTACTGTACTGCATAAGCTGGGCCTGGAATCACAGGAATCCCATCAACTTGGACAGGGTCCTGATGGCCCTGGGGAGAGTCATAGATTCTGCTTCCTCCACCTGCTGCCTCCACAGATGTTTTGAAAGGACCAGCAGAGAACTGGGTTGATGTCCTCAGGCCCCAGGACATCAACCCAAGTAGTTGTGTCAGAATGCCATACATCCAACTAAGGACAGTTCTAATGCGTGCTTCAGGACTCAAGACCCTCTGTGGACAAGGCTGGAATATAATTAACCCAGGAACAAATGAGTGCACATTCTTTCTAACTCCCACTCTTCATTAACACATTTTTAAAGATTAGTGTGGCTTAATTTAGGATATATATTATAAATGGCATTTTTGATAACAATATTAATTATTATTTCACTTGTATTATGTAAAGATCCTGTGCTAAGAGCTTTACATTCATTATTTAATTCAAACCATTATTTAATTCAACAACCTCATGAGGAAGGTATTCATTTAATCAGTTTTCAGTTGAGGAAAGAATCTCTAAGAGGCTGATTTCCCTCCAACCACTTAAAAATTCTTATCTATTTGGTGTTAAAGTTTGTGATTTTAGCCATGATATTATCCTGACTCCCCTATACAGTGGACTTGTGATTTATAACTTTTTATAATTCATGAGATAGTCTTGCTGTTGGTTAAATAAAGATGATAGGTTTCTACCTTGTTTATAGAAAGGAATGGGATAGGATGTGGGGGAGAAAAGGAATTTTGCTTAAATTTCATTGTACAGATGCATTTATAAAAACCAAAAAAAAAAAAAAAGTAAAGAATACAATAAGACTAGCTCATGGGTCAGGCATGGTGACACACATCTATAACCCCAGCTACTCAGGAGGCTGAGAGAGGAGGTTCATAAGTTGAAGCCAGCCTGGGCAACTTAGTGAGACTCTATCTCAAAATAAACATTTAAAAAGGGGCTAGGAATGAAGCTCAGTGGTAGAACACTTGCCTAGTATGTTTTAGACCTTGGGTTCAATTCCCAGCACCACAGGACAAAAGTTTCACCTATTACCTAGGGCATATGTGCATATGCTTCCCCTCCCCCCACCTCCTCCGCCTCCTCCACCTCCTCCATTCTTTTTTTTTTTTTTTCCTTTTGTGTCACATGCTTAGGCCTTTTATTTTTTTATTTTTTTTAATTTTTTAAAAATCTTCAGACAGGGTCTCATTAAGTTCCAGGTTGGCCTTGAACTTGTGATTCTCCTGCCTCAGCTTCCCGAGTCACTGGATTACAGGTGTGTATCACTGTCAGAATTTCTCTTCTTTTTTTTTTTTTCTATTTTTTTCCCCCACACTGGGGATGGAACCCTGTGCCTTCCCCTTGTTTGTTATAAACACAAATCCTATTCCAGGGCTTCCATGAGGAACACTTTCTATAAATTATCTTCTGTTTTCGATCAGGTTTCCCTAACAGCCTGAGGCAATGAGTAACATACTGAGCATTTGTTTGGGAGGTAGAAACCCAGGACAGCAAAATCAAAATAAATAAATAAATGCAGTGAAGCAAAAGAAAGACCTAAGTGATGCAAAGCCGCTGCCCTGACTGGGGCTTGTGAGGAGCATGGAGAGCCAGGCAGCCCATTCCCTAAGTGTGTTGCAGGACTGCATGAGGTTTTTCTAGAAAGATCCCATAGAGGAACCATACGGCAGGACATTTGATTGGAGAGCAGAAGTTAGGGGAATCCCCTACCCCCCAAACCTCCCTATCTTCTTTTTTTGTACTAGCCAAAGTTTCTCTGATTAAAGGTTAACTCCTTTGCATATCCTTAGCTGCCAAACATGAGATTCTGGGCTTTTTTTGTGTTGTTTCATCTGAATACAAAAGTGGCAGGATAACTGAGCGATTCTGGGCATGTGACGGGTTGACCAGTTGTGCAGAGGTAGCCCAGGAAGAGGCTTCCAAGGGCATGGGATTAGTTGGTCTCCTGTGAACAATGTGGTTTGAGAGACATTATGGTTTGAATCTAGTGTCCTCCAAAGGCTCATGTGTTAAAGGCTTGGCCTCCAGCTCAGTAATAGTCAGAGATGGGGCTTTTGGGAAGTATTTGAATCATGAGGGCTCTGACTCATTGGTGGATTAATCTGTTGATGGATTAATAATTTGATGGCATTATTCAGAGTCGGTGAAAACCACAGTAGGTGGGGGACTAGTTAGAGAAAGTAGGATATTGGGGGGGTGTGCTCTGGAAGGGTAAATTTTGCATCCATAACCTCTTCTTTTGTGAGCTGAGCAGCTTCCCTCTGCCAGGCCCTTCCAACATAATGTTCTGCCTACCTCTGGCTCAGAGCAATGGAACCACCAACCACGCACTGAGAATTCTGAAACTATGAGCCAAAATAAGTCTTCCCTCCTTTTGAATTGTTTTTCTCAGGTATTTTGGACATACTGATGAAAAGCTGACTAACAGGAGGCTACCAAGCACAGGGATTCTAAGGAAGTGCATTATCTCTGTGGTTGATGTATCTCCTTCTGATGCACAACTACCTGAGAGGTAAGTATTGTATTTCTCACTTTACAGCTAACCTGGAGTTTGGATTCAAATCAGTGTGCAACATAGATCCTGTATACTTTAAAGAAAGAAGCCAAAAAGAAAGCCAGTGAGACTAATACATAGTTCTTGGGGAGAATCTAAAGAACAAAATAATCATCCATAATTCCACAAATAACCTTTAAAAATCTTCTTAGTATATATTTTTTTAGTTTCTCTATACTATTTTTACATAGTGGAGATGATAACACAAACACTATAACTTGTTATGTTCTTGTCATCAGCATATCAAAAGTATTTTGCTATGTCAATATAAACTTTTATGTTTCCATAAAAGTACCTGGATATAGTATATGTTGCCTACTTTGGAAGTAGCAGTTCTGGGATTCATTTTCCTCATTTCCTGGGGAGGAGGTATGTTCCTAGGTTAGAAAAACTGCAAATAAATTGTTCTAATCTTGTAACATCACTAATGGCAGGCCTCCTGGTGAACTAAATGTTTTTTTGCTAGCAGGAGAGTCCTTATCCATGGAATGCTTTTAGCAGAATGTACTTCAGTGTCTGGGATTTCTTAGGTAAACAAACCTGGAGTCTACAGATTCATGAGGCACAGCTCTCTGGAAAATGTCATGTAAATTACATAAATATCTGAGTATAGAAAGGGGAAGTTCAGATGTTCCCTGAACTAAGAAGCTACTTCTGGATAAGTAAGGTGTCTGCATACCGTTTCTAGAGATCTCATGTGTTGTCTCAGGCCTGAGTTCCTCAAACAACACCTTATGTAGGAATAAAAAGACCCAGGGAACACCACCAGTGTTTTGGCCGCTGCCTGCTGTACCTGTGTGTCTCATCATGCGCATCCTTAAAATTATATATAAAACTTGGACCTGGGTAAGATCTCTGAGTTGTATGTCTCACTTGACAATCTGATCTTCATTGTACCTTTTGCTATCTCAATTCATAAATATTTCCTCATTGATGACATTTTAATTATAATATTTCATAACTTTAAACACCACTATAATACACAATCAAATTATTGTCTACATTTTCTGTCATTCCCCGCTACCTCCCCCCCCCCAAATGATTTCAAAGAGGTCTGGCTGCTGTACACTTTGTAATGGCTGCAGGAGGGAAATCTCTGCCAGCATCTACTGCCCTTCCTCCTACCCTTGCTATTGGGTGGAGAAAGAAAGGGATCAAGGGAAAAAGAAGAAAAAAGAGAGGAAGAAGTGGAAAAATTCTTATAACATCACTGTCACCAGCCTCTTCTATAAACCTAGATGGTTCCTTCACTCTCTGGGGTCATTGTTTCCTTTGGTAACATTGTATTTCTATTTCTTATCCCAGAAGCCCCATCTCTGCTCAACTCCCAGACCTCGTAGAAGGCTCTTCCTACTTCTTCCAGAAATGATTAACTCCCACACTGCTAGTAGGGATGCCTCAGGCAGCTGGATGTCTCAGCAGAGAGAGGCATTCCAGATTCCAAATTGCAACTGGTGGTGGATTCTTAACTAGGGTTCCTGGTCAGAATTCAGGAGAATGGTCAGAGAATTTGGAGAAGAAAATTACATCTCTGTATTCACTAATCTCTAAAACCAAAAATGTATAATTTTCAATTATAAAACATAAACAAAAAAGGAAAAAAAATCACATAATATTAACAGTATCTTTGACTTTGTCACAAATAGAATCAATTCCTTTCCTATATATATATCAGTTGTTGCAAATCTTGAAATACTATGTACACTGAGTACTACTTAAAAATTAGGATTATTAAACCTGCTATTAGATTTGTGTTAACATGCAGACATGTTATTGAATGTATTACTAAAGAAACACGTGTTACATCACAACTCTGTTTAAAAACATTTTTATAACTATCTTTCAAAAAGTAGTTTTCTTTAGTATCCTATGGCTTTTATTTAACTGATTACAAAAAAAGGGGTCCACGCTTTTACCAGATAGCCAAAAGTGTCTATGGCACGAAAAGGGGAGCAACTCTGAAAACATAGCCTAGCCCTTCACAGACACCCATCACGCATTACATATGTTAAATAGCCATTTGGCCTGTCTTCTGCTTTCCAGAGATTAACATAATAGTGCCACTAGGTGCATAAATAAGCCATGTTCAGGCAAGCATTGATACAGGCTGCTGTTGAGGTGTAAATAACATGTTTTAGGGGCTGAGGACAGAAGAATTAATCAAAGCTTGGTGACTCTGAGAAGATTCATGGAGGGAGTAAGATTCAGGGTGGGGGGGGGGTACTTCATCCCTTAGCAGCTGAAGAGGGCAACATGCTGCTTTCACCTACCTCTGCATGAGAAGTCCATGCCTGCTCCCCCCAAAATACCTGATTGAAGAGATTGGAGTGAGCTTTCCTTTATGAAAATCCTAAGAGCAGCTCTTCTGTGAATATGATTTTCCAGTCCCTTAACCCTTATGGTAGCTTGTCCCTCTATCTGTTCACTTTTTCTCCCCCCTATGGGGAAGGAGCAGCCTGTGATGCTGTCGATAGAATACCAGCCTCGGGACCAGTTGGGCTGGGTTCTTCACCTCTGCTCTGGTTATTGATAAATTGAAGTGTTGAACATGATGATCTTCATCACTACCCACCTTGCCTCCTGGGCATGTTTGAAAGTTGGATGGGAAATGTCAGTCAATCAGTCAAATGTTTCACTTGCAGTGAGAAAGCCAACCCTTGCTCCCCATTCTAATGCACTGAGGAATTGGACCCACCACCATGAGATGAGTAAGAAGCATATAATCCCCCCTGCTCTGCCCACCCCAACCTTCCTGAAGTGTATTTCTAGAAAATACAAACTGACTGGCCATCCAATTCTTTAGAAGTTGGAGAAAAGTGTGAGGTAGAGGTGGAGAAGGAGACCTGGGGAGTGCTTTGAACTGCGATAAGCAACAAGCTGTCCCTAAGGTATCTGCAGAGGGCCCAGTGGGGCTGTCTCATAGGCTGCCTCAGACATATGGCTCTCTCTCCTCTGATCTCAGATGCAGTGGCTGAGCTGTATTGTTTGCAGGCAGAGATATCTATAGATATACATTTCCCAATGTAACTCTTTCAGTTCACACTTCATTTCCAAAAAAAAGGGAGAGATGAAAACTGGGGTGAGGATTTGAAGTGCTAGGGATGGGGGATTCCTAACCCCATAGTCACCAACACAGTTGTTTTCACTGCCTTAATTCTTCTCTGATGCTCGGAACCTCATCTGATAGGTTACTCTCTGGGGTTCATTGTTTCTTTTCACAACTATATTCCTAGTTCTTGCCTCAGAACCACTTTTCTGTTTCAAAACCCCTGGCCTCCCAGAAGGCCCAACCAAGCTCTTCCAACCTCTTCCAATAATATGACTGCTACTCCAGCTGGTGGAGACACCTTAAGCTGCTGAGTATCTCAGCAGGGAGATGCATTCCTGCCATTCCTAATTGTAATTGTTCCTTACCAGGAAGGGTCAGTATTCCCTTCTTTTAAAATATTCAGTGAATGCTCTAGACTCCAGATAGATGAAAATCTCAGAGGTGAAGCAAAAAAAAAAAAAAAAAAAAAAAAGAAGCAAAGATCCAACAGAAGTTTCTGGCCCTAAAAAACTGAGGGGAGAAATTTTGAAAGGTACAGAAAACACATTTAATATGAGTATGAAACTCATACTACATTTTTTAGCAAAATCACATGATTTTTTTAACAATGAATCGGCAAGTCATTCAGAGATGACTTATACTTAGAAAGGATCCTTATGGCTATCCTGACAAAGAATCATATCATCATCGTTGTCATCATCATTGATAGAATGGAGCGGGGAAGAGAGAAACAACTTTTAAAAGGCTGATATAAACACTTCACAAGATTTGCCTATAGAACCAGGGAATATGTTTTCTGTAAAATCTTTTTTTTTATTCTGCATATGTCTTTTAATTTCTTTTGTATTAACACATATTAATTGTACATAATAACAGGGCTGGGGATGAGGCGCAAGTGGTAGCGCGCTCCCTAGGCATGGATGCGGCCCTGGTTCGATCCTCAGCACCACATACAAACAAAGATGTTGTGTCCGCCGAAAACTTTCCCTCTGTTGTGGTTTAGATCTTAAATATCCCCCCAAAGCTTCTTTCTTGAAATCTTGGTCTTCAACTGATGGTGCTTTTGGGAAGAGGTGGGAACTCTAGGAGATGGGACCTCAATGGGACCAAGGATGTGGGCCATTTGCTGGCCAGGCTGGACGGCAGCTCTTCCTTCTGATTCTGTAAATACCAGTGTGGGCTGGATGCTCCCCTGGGCCCCCGTGTCATGTTGAGACATTGTCAGAACTGGCCTCCTCCCTCCCGCCGCCCCGAGCTTCCATCTTCACCTGCTTCTCTCGTCACCTCCACGTGCTGCCATATTTTTCTGCAAAATTTCTTTTAGTCCCTTCTCGCTGTCCTTTTAATTAGGCTGGTTATTCTCCTCTCCCATAAAATCTTAAGAGATTATTTTAACAAAAATTATATTCAGAGAAAAATATTTCAAACAAGAAATGGGTGCAGAGAAAAATGTAAAAGTAATAAAAAAAGATGGGATATGAACTAAGAGAAATGAAAAGGAAAAACAATCCAGAAAGAATAAAGTTGACCCATAATACAGTGATGTATATAGTGGCAGGCTTGACAACATCATTCAAAATGAAATGGGGAAAAAAAAAAAGACATAAAAAGATTATAGAGAAAATACTGGATATGGAAGAAAAAAAAGAGGATCCAACATAAATTTGTTGACATGTTTGAGAAAATGAAAGGAACAGATGGAATAGAAATGATTTCAATAAGATAGAAGACAACAGTTCCTTGCAATAAAAATCTGAATCAGCACAATGAAGAGTAACAGCAGGATCCAGTGAAGATTGACAACACAATCAACACCAAGCCATACCCTGAAAAATTTGCTGAATATGAGACAAGGAAGAATTTATATGGGCATGAAGAAGAGGAATTAAATCACAAATAAGGGAAAAGTCTGGCTGATTTCAGACTTCTTCATAGCAATGTTCATTGCCAGGAGGTGAAGGAATGCCAACATAATTCTGAAGGTAAAAAAGTGTTGCTAAATAATTTATTAACCATGCAAATTCAATTCTAAAGGCAACAGATAATCTCAATAATGCAAGTATTAGGTAACACATTATACGAATCCTCAGAAAAAAGTAAATTCAATGGATTAAGGGATGACTACAAATAAATATAACAAATTTATTGTATGGTTTAAATGCGGAATATCCAAATATAAAACCTTTTTTTCACATCTCCAACACTGTCTCCAAGTTGTTGCAATTAAGTCTTCCTCTCTTAATATTTTAACTATCTTGGTCTAATCTCATCAATTTTCTAATAATTTCAAGTATTCAAAATCCAGTGAAGCTTCTCTCTTGTGTTAACATTCTGTTACTGTAATAAAATATCAGAGATAATCCACTTATAAATAGAAAGGTTTATTTTAGCTCGCAGCTTTGGAGTTTCAGCTACATGATAGGTGAACCTATTGCTTTCAGGCTTTTGGTGTGAGGTTGGGGACATGTCATGGTGAGAGGGCACGGCATAGCAAAAGTCCATGGTGGGGAAGTACAAAAGAGGACGAGGAGGAGATAGTTCCTACCCTAGAAGGAGATGCTCCCAGTGACCTTGAACTGCTCCCAGGCCCCACTCCACTATCTCCCAGTTGCACCAAGCTGTGGATCAAGTCTAACACGTGGGCCCTTGGAGGACAATTCCAAATCATAGTGTATCTTATATTCACTTTAACTTTCATTTTCTTTCCTTCCGTCCAAAAGTGGGCACCTGTGGCGGATTATTCTTTCTTCTCCCCCCATTCTTTCCTATATCTTTCTTTTGAATCTCTGTCTCCTCTGGTTTAATGTGATGAGAAGGAGGGATAGGGAAAATGGGGCAAATGTCACTTTGGTGGTACTTTTCAGTGTTTTTAAAGATCACCTGTGTGTACCCTCATGGGACAGAAGTCCAAATGCTGGAATTCACCACAGATGTATGTGTGGTTTCTTCTGAAGCCCTTTAAGGACCTCCACCTGCCCAAGACAAGCCAGGGATGTCCTGGTGATTTCTGACTCCAGCTCAGCTCCTACCTTGGGTTGTCCACTCCATAGAATGTTCAGTGGTCTGTTCTTCCAGAGTTTTCTTGCTGCTGGAATTCTCTTGTTGGGTGGCCTGTCTCTTACATTGAGATGGCTCAACCCGGTTACCTTGTGGGCATTTGACCCTGTGGGAGAGGAGAATGTGCCTCCCAAAAATATGAAAGATTTTTGACCTAAAGGCAATTAAGGATCAGCAGAGGAAGAACTCTTTTATTTCCCATTTCCCACCTAAAAATGAAGTATAAATTCTTCACTGAAGACAACCCTTATCAGCTCAGAGACCACACCAGAGGAATCTACCAAAAAACCCTTATTTTATTAGTTTCTTCCTGAACATTTTTCTTCTTATAGTTTCCTGACTCTGGAAGCTCCAAACTGCTTTTCTTTGTCCTGTCGTGTTTCCACACACTTTTTGTTCTCTGTTGAAGTTGTTGTGTAAGCCAGAGTTCTAAGCAACCACCTTGAGTTATCTTTCACTGACATTTCTTCCACATGGTAGATATGCACTAAACGCGTGAATAAACTTGCATGTTTTTCTCTTGTTCATCTGATTTGTGTTCCAGAAGTCTGTGCCAACTATGGATTTATGAAGATTGAAGAGAAGTTATATTTCTTCCCTTCAAATCCCAGGAAACTCATGCATCTTCCAACTGAAATATCTGGAGTCTGGGTGGCTCCATGATGTCCTCTACTCTCTGCCTTACTTACTTTTCCAGAATTCTTAATTTTAGCCTTGTTTAGACCCAGGATGCATCTTTCATGGCAAGCAGTCAATAGAAATGGTTAAAAATTATGATTTTAATCTACCCTACTTTTTCCAACCTCAGAGTAGTGATTCTCAACTAGAGGTGATTTTTCTCCACTTGCCACTTGC